CCCGTGCCAGACCCGGAGCACGCCGCCTCCTCCCTTTGCTCGGTGTTGCACTGGGCCTTTTTCACCTAAACTTGCAGTTTTGACACCAAATCCATTGTGAAGGGTCCCAATCCGGGGCTGTTCCTCCAGGATGGTGTGGTTGGTACTGGGTACGGGCAGGCACCTCCCCATGTTATCAGAGATGCTCCATCACGTTTTAGCCATGGCCAGAGCAGGATTTATCCCTCTCCAAAGCCAAGCTTGGACTGGGTGGTTGATCCAGCCCCATCAGGCAGGCAGAGAGCAGGGCAGAGCACGGAAGGGTGCTGAGTCCTTGATGAGCTTTAACCACAGCACTCATTAGCTGGGTTTGGTTTGATGCTAATTGCTCACCTCCCAGTTTCCCTGAACTTTGGCAATTTTGTGGTTTTGCTCAGCCCGAGGTCACTTAATCCAAACCACAGGTCAGGAAATCCACTGGGGATGGGATGCAACAAGCAGCTCCAGCCGTGCCCATGGGAGCTCCGCAATCCCTGTGCCCATTGGGATACATCCTGCTCTGCTCGGGCACAGCCGGAAAGCCCTGAGCTCCAGGAGTGCTTCTGTGCTCCCAACATCACCTCCTTCCCCTGCCTCCATCCCCTGTGGATGTGCTGGGGGCCAGGAAACCATCCGCCAGCGGTGGCTCAGGTGTGACGTGGGGCTGGAAATAGACGGGCTGGAATAGTTTGGGGATGATTTCACTGCCGTTATGGCTCAGGCCGGGGCTGTTACTGCACAGCCCCTTCCGATTTTTATGACTTAATCCCTCCAAAGCTCCAGGCCTGATGGTTTTGGACCAGGGAGGAGGAGCGAGGAGCTTTTAGCAGGTCGTTATGGCAGAAATATGGAGAAGGGATTTGACAGGTATATGTAGACCATGACAGGCCCATCCTGCTGCTTCCCTGGGTGGCTGTGGGGCAGGGAGAGGGGGAGATGCTGACCTGGGAAGGTCCATCTGCTCCGTGTTCCCTGGGGCTGTGGGGCTGTGCATCCCTCAGGGGCTTGGAGCCCCACACACTGGGGCTGCTTCTGCAGAGGTCCCCACATGCATGAATGATGCTGATGCCAGGTACACCAAGGAGAGGGTTGGGGTGGCATGAAGAGTGTGTGTGTGCGTGTGTGCATCCCAACGTGTCCATGTGCAAACGCGTTTGAGTGCATGCTTTTATGTGTATCCACATGTGTGCATCTGTATGTGTATAAGTACCATCGTGTGCATCCACGTGTGCATGCATTGGTGTGCATGCTTGCACATCCCTGGGTGCCAATGTGCATGCATTTCTGTGTGTGTGTGTGCATCCATGTGTGTGCATCCCAATGTGTCCATGCTTCTGAGTGCATGCCTTTGTGTGTATCCACATATGTATCATTGCATGCATGCATTGGTGTGCATGTTTGCACATCCTTGGGTGCCAATGTGCATGCATCTGTGTGTGTGTGTGTGTGTGTGTGTGTGTGTGTGTGTGTGTGCATCCATGTGTGGGCATCCCAATGTGTCCATGCTTCTGAGTGCATGCCTTTGTGTGTGTCCACATATGTATCATTGCATGCATGCATTGGTGTGCATGTTTGCACATCCTTGGGTGCCAATGTGCATGCATCTGTGTGTGTGTGTGTGTGTGCATCCATGTGTGTGCATCCCAATGTGTCCATGCTTCTGAGTGCATGCCTTTGTGTGTGTCCACATATGTATCATTGCATGCATGCATTGGTGTGCATGTTTGCACATCCCTGGCTGCCAACGTGCATGCATCTGAGTGTGTGTGTGTGCATGTGTGCAGCATGTATATGTGCGTGTGCCCTGTGCATCTACATGTGCATCTATGTGTATCCATCTGTACATGCACATGTGTGCATAAGCATCGATGTCTGTGTGTGCATCTCCATGCATGCATGCTTGCATCCATGTCCGTGTGCATCTCTGCCTGCCTGCGTGTGTTCACATCTGTGTGCATGCACACGTGTGCGTGTCGCCCGTGCACGTGTGTGTTCTGCTGGAGGTTCACTGCTCAGGTTTATAGACGTTCTGGGGGTTTTATGGCATTATGGAGGGCTGGATGACATCACCCCCATATTAAAACAGCATGTGCCAGCCGGCGATACGCCGCTCCGAGGCTCCGGGGCAGCCCGAGCCGTCCTGTCCCGGAGCACACCGGAGCGATGGGAATGCCGACATGTGCCCATGGACACGCAGCCCCGATGAAGTCATCCCAGCTGGGATCTGGAGATGTTAAAGGGGAATCTGAGCCTCTCGATCCATGCATTTTGGGTGCTCACTGCCACATGTCCCTGCGGTGGGGACGTCGGTGGGAACGGGGCGATGCTGCCGGTGCTGGTTCCCCACCAGGCAGCTGCTCTGGAGCTGGCGATGGGATTATTTTTCCCCTCGTCTTCCACCACAAAAAGGATTTATCAAAACCAAACCTGTTTGTGGGAAACGGCTCCAAAACATTTCCTGACTCGAGAAAAAGAGCACTGGAAAAAAAAAAAAAAGAAAAACTTTCCAGGTTTTTTTAGCTGGGAGGCAATCCGTTTGGAGATGTAACGGCATTACATGGCGCAGGGGTTAACCAAAGGCAAAAGGTTGAAATGTGAAAAGCGGTTTCCAACGTTCCCAGCACAACCTTTCCTTCCCGAGCAGCGGAAAACTTCCCAAACCTTCCCCAACTTTCTTTATTGCAGCCCAGTTTGGGAAAGGAAATGTTTGAAAATCCCAACGCTCCTCACAGGACAGGAAAGGCTCCGTTTCCTCGGTGGCCATGCCCGGAGCAGCCAGCCCGGGTGGCAGAGGAGCGTGAGGTGATGATGGATGCTCTCCTCAGCTCTGCTCTGGAGCAGTTTCCCAGCCGCGGGCAGGAATGCTGAGCACTGCTCCAGCACTGCTGCAGGCAGAGGAGGGTAAACCCCTGCTGGGACCTGGGGCTGTGGTATCGTAAATAATACAGGTTTGGGGACAGGAAGAGAGCATGAGCCACTGAGGAACCCCTGATGTGCCCTGGGAAGGATGCACAGCCTGAAGCTCCTTTATCCTTACTGTGAAGTTCAGCCTCTCCATCACCGATGGAGATCTGGCTGTGGTCCCCCAGCTCCTGGCATCACCTCGCTCACGTTCCTCCCTCTGCCTTGCGGTTACCACCAGCTCCTGGCCCCACATCATCCATCCGCTCACCCAGCACTGTGCTGGGTCCCCTTCAGGACATAAGAGGCAGGTTTGGTTCTCATTGAATGGGTCATGGGGGAGTTTGGGGCTCTCGGCAGAACTGAGCCCCACAGGCATCCCTCAGAGCCACTTTGTGCTCCTCTTCTGAGCTCAGCCAGCAATGCTGTGTGGCCAAAGTGTCATGGAAGGGTTGGGAGTGCTCTCCAGAGGTCACCAAACCCAACCCAGTTCAACACAACCAACATAACCAATACAACACAACCTACCCCAATACAACCAACACAACGCAAAATAACCCTACCCAACCCAGCACAACTCAGTATAACCCAATCCAAAATAAATCAACCCAACTGCAGTCAACGCAACCCAACCGCAGTCAACCCAACCCATCCTAACCAACCCAACCCCTCCTAACTGATCTCACCCAATACAACCCAACCAACCTACCCCAACCCAACCCAACGCAACCCAACCAACTCAACGTAGCCTACGCAACCCAAGCCAACCATCCTAACCCAACCTCTCCCTCAGAACAAGTCTTCCCATCACCTCCCGTGCAGGCCTTCTGGGTCATTCCCAATGGAAATCTCTCCCTCCTCCTGTGCTCAGCAGCCCCAGGGGGGGTCGATCCCTGCAGGGAACTGAATCACGTCCCCCCCACCAGTGCGGGAGCGTCACAGACTGTCTGAGGCTCGTCAGGAGAGTCAGGCCAGGCCGCGCGGGGCCGTTCTGGGAAGTCATCCAGCCATCCGCTGGAGCGAGGAGTCTGCCTAAAAATGACTCTGCTGGCTCCTCTCCACGCTCCGACCGTCCCCATATGGAACGAATGTACATTTTCCATCAATTGTTTGTATTTTTCATTTAAAGAAAGAAGGGGGAGAGAGGGAGAGAGAATGAAAAGAACAGGCAGCAAGCGAGCGGGGCTCACCATCCATGCGGAGCGCCGGTGACAGCAGATAGGCCCCATCGCAGAGAGGGAGAAACACTGGCCAGCGTTCAAGAGACTCAAACGTATGGTATGAAACAATAAATTTTAAGTGTGTTTTGACATATTTGGTGGTCTCTGCTTCACGCTTAATGAGCGTTGGTCCACGTTACGGGGGAACCGCACAGCTCGGGGTGGTTGGCAGGCTGTGCTGGAAGGGGTCGGTGGCCAGCGAGGCCGGAGGTAGGCGTTGAGGTGGTCCCAACATGTGTGTTTCCTAAGGGAATGGGGCAGGGGGATGTGGCATGGGGGAATGGGATGATGAGGGCACCGCAGGGGGATGAGCGGTGATGCCAACTTGGAGGAAGAAGCATAAGGATGATGGAGTTGGGTTAAGCTTGGCTGGGGGGACACATGCAGCACGATGGTGATGTCCCACGGCAGCATCCCTCACACTGCAGGGCTTGGGCAACCTGTGCTTGTATCTCCAGCCCTCCTGCTGCTTGCTTTGCCTGCAGGAAGAACCACGGCCTCCTCCATCCCCATCACCACAAAGAGAAAACCCAGGGGACCAGGAGAGGCGAGCGCAGCCCTCCCGCATCCCTCGCCGCTGTGCCAGGCTGCCCGGCTCCCCCCATCTGACAGGGTTTGATCAGAAAGATGGACATGAAAGTGGAGCTTGGCTCTGGTTTCTCTCTCATTCAGAACATTCAAAAACTATTAACTGCGGTGGGGGTAAGGGAGCAGCTGGTTTTAATCTTGTGCTCTTCCAATTGTGTTGGGTGTTTTTTTTTCTCGCTGCTTTTCGCGAGCACTCTAAGTGACATGGTTACATGTATTTGATTAAAAAGCTGTAATTCAACGAGTGCATTTTCTTGTACTGTACAGAACGCCTTAAAGACACAGGGTTTATTTACGGTGGTCTCCCGGTTTTCCAGCTCAGCCGAAAGACAAGATGACAGGGAACGCGCGGAAGGGGGGACGCAGAGGGGGACATGGGATCCCACCCGGCTTTCCCAGTGCAGGGATCACGACCAGATCCTTCCCTCTCCTGTAAGGCTCAGCCTGCTGCCACCAGCCTGGTCCTCGGGTCCCATCCCACATTCACTGAGCTGCTTTTTGGTGTCCCTGAGGTCGGGGCTCAGCTTACAGGGGCTGGCAAAGAGGGGACAGTGAGGAGGGGATGCCTGGTCCAAACTGGTCCCCATCTCACCAGCAGCAAGATGCTGCAGGACCTGGTGTGTGGGGGGGAGATTTTTCCATCCATGCCCATGCAGGGATGCTGCCAGCACAGAGGAGACCGTCCCAAGACAGCAGCTCCTTTTCCTAAGGAGGAAAAAGACTTTATGAGATCCCAGCAAGGAGCCATGGCCTGATGCTGCCGAGAGCCCTGGATCATCTCCCGTTAACCCCAGCATCCCCATGGCACGGATGGGGGATCCATAGCATGGATCCATGCTCACCAGCATCCTCTGCTTCCAAAGTGATGCGTTTCACCCCAAAAAGCAGGCGTGAAGCTGCAGGGGAGATAAAAAGAGCCGGTGGGCTGCTCTGCATCCCATTGAGCACCACAATAACTCCATGGCCCCACTCTGCCAGCCCCGAGGGGCTGCAGCACGGCTGTGGCATGGCTGCATGTATGTGCATGTACATGTCTGTGTGACGCTATCCCCACTGCAGAAAGCAGCTTCCCCTTCACCTCTCACACCCAGATTTGCTCACAGGTGTTATAAATGAGCGCAGTGGTGCTTGCACCTCACCTGCCCCAAAGCCCCCAGTGTGCAGGGACACAGACCGCAACCCCAGCATCACCCAGAGCCACCCCCGTCCCTGCTTCCAGGCCAGTGGCCGTGCTGATCCATGCCTTTTCCCTGGCTCTCTCCTGGCCAGGGATCACCTGCAGTTCACTTGATTTATGAACGGAGAATTTTCCGAGCTCCGTTTCCTTTTCATTGTTGTTTCAGTTGCTGCGCTCGCTTCCGCCCGCCTTTGAATAACTCCTGCCACGCTGCGAGCGGTGAGAAAGGCAGAGAGTAAACACTCACACTCAGCCCAGGAGCTGGGGGGCAACAGCCTTCTCCCCTCCCCATAACCAGGGGGGGATGCAGGGATGCCCACTAGTCCATCCCACCTGAGCCCGGAGGATGCTGGGCTCAGAGCGAGCAAAGATCCAGAGCAAACCCCTCTTTTCCCGCGGCTGTGGTTTGGGATGGGGGAGCAGCATCCCGGCTCCCTGATCCTGGGAGGTGGCAGGCCCTTGGGGATGCTGCTCTCCCACGCTGCGCCTCGGGGGGAGGTTGTGGTGGGTGGTTTTACGGAGGGACCCTAAGAAGTGGCTCTGTGGGGAGGTTCAGCTCCCCATGAGAGCAGGGTCCCCACCACACAGGGCTTTGCTGAGCAGTGGTACCCGGTTTCATCCCCGTTCTCATGGCAGGGCGATAGCAAAGGGGAAGTTGGGGGGGCTCCTCCAGCTGGTATCACCCACGGCAGCAGAGGGAGGATGCTCTGGGGAGGGGGGGGGGGAGCTTGTGTTGATTTACAGCAAAACCCTTCAGGAAAAAGAAAGCAACAACAAAAGGAAATGAAAGAAACCCCATCCGCAATCTCAGCTCAGCCATACCCACATCCCCACCGCTGCCACCTGCCAGCCCCGCTGCCCCGTCCCCTTCCTCCCAGCCCCATTGCAGACCATTGAGGACCCCCCCCTGCCCCAGTACACCCCCCCCCCCCCAGGTTGGGAGGTGGGCAACTGCCCGTCCCTGCCTGCACCCATTGTCCTGCCCTTCCTCCCCGCAGCCCCCTGCCGCCGCCCAGGGAGCCGGGGAGGGGGGGAACAGGAAGCTGTCCCCAGCGCGCTGGTGAGGAAATGAGACAAGCGGGCTGGAGGGGCGGCGGGGACGGCGGGAGGAAGCGGACGGGATATTTGGAACCGACGGCGAATTCTTGGGCTTATCTCTGCGCCGCAGAGACCCAGGAGTCCTTACAAAACAGCGCCCAGCTGGAGCGAGGCCCGCGGCCGGGGGGACGCGGCCCCATCCCTGCCCCGCACCACTGGTACCCTGCTCAGCGGTGGGATGCTGGTGGCAGGGAGGGGACATGTGCCCGGAGTGATGGCTGGCACTTGGTGTCCCCTTTGGTGGTCGGGGAAAGGACCTGATGCTTTGGCGATGGGGGTGGGCAGCACTCGGGCTGAGCGGTCCCCATGTTGCGTGTTCAGTGGGGATTTGGGAATTGGGACACCCTCCAGCAGCCCTAAATCCTGTTGTTTCATAGGTTGGTTCCGTTGCCCATGGGGATTCATTGCCCATCCTGCCCACGGTCTGTATTGGGATGCTTTGAGCCCATCACCTCCCCTTCTTGTCCCGCAGGTACCGGGAACAGAGCTGGGATGCAGGATGCTGCTCCCCTGCCTGCCCTGCCTTCCACGCCTGCCCACGAAGGGTTACGGGCAGCCCAGCGTGTTCCGAATTCACCCTTACAGCTGCTGCTCAACTTCTTGTTGGGTTTAATTATTTTTCCTAACAATGCCGTGTTATTTTATATTCAGAGCATTGGGCCTTGGCTGGGGAATAGAAAGCGGGTCTGTGCTGGGAGCACCCGACCCAAGGGCGAAGGTTCCTGCAGCGCTTCCTAACAGCAGGCAGCTGCCTGCTGCAGGCAGGGGAGCGGAGCAGGGATAGCGGCATCGTCCCAAGGGAGTTGGGGCTGCCGCCAGCACCCAGGGCTTTGGTGGGGTCAGCCCTTCGTTTGTTGACTGGTTGTGATAATGAGGCAGGAGTCCTGCAGCAAAGGCAGCCAGAACACCCTGGGGTCAGCGCTAGGAGTGGCCTGAGATGGGCATTGCCTTCATGGAACATCCCCACACATGGCAGGGACCCCATGGCCGAGGGCACCCAACAAGGAGGCACCTTTGGAGCCGGATAGCGCTGGTGATAGGGGTGATGCCTATAGCCAGGACCCACCAGGAGGGCTGCTGCAGCCAACAGAGCTGAACTTGGTGGCTGAGGGGAGGGGGGGGCCCAGGGTGTGATGGGTCACCCTGGCAGAGGCTGAGACTCCTCCTCTGCGGGGAGGAGGACAAAGGATGGAAGCGGCTGCCCCGTTGCAACACATCCCCGGCGAGCACAATGGAAATGCCATCCTCCGTCTTGTGAAACAGGAACCTCATATGATCTCGCTGAAGGCTGGGGACGCTCTTGTAGGTCTGAGTGTGACGCTCCCTGCGCTCATTCCTCCACCCTTGGGGACACCCCCAGCGCATCCCTGACATCGAGAACACCCATGTCCATGACCGTGGGTCCAGTGTGAAGCCCATGGCACAGTGGACACACTGGCAGGAGGAAGATGATGCTCTGCAACCCACCCCAGGGCCAAAATACCCCTGGCTGCCCACCAAAACACCAACCAGTGGAGGCACCCACACCCCATCGAGCATCCTTCTTCCACCCATCCATCCCCACTCAAGGACTCCTAAATAACCTCCATTCTCCCTTTATGCTCTTGACCCCAGGTTTAATTAGACCCCCTTTTCCTGCCTATATGAGAAATCACTTCCCTAAGCAGGTGGCTGCGGTGCCGCGGGGGCTGTTGTTGTTGTTGTCCTCGGGGCAGGGGGAAAGGTGGTAAATGGGGGGAAGAGTTTGTTGTTTGTTTTGCTATTTACAAAGCGCAGCTTTTTCCTGGTGCCGGGCATCGGAAGAGGGGCAGGATGTGACCTTCATCCATCTCCTCCTCCTACACACAATGCAGCCGCGAGCGCTGCCGGCATTGTCCCCGCTGCAGCCAACGGGCACCTCCCGCGCCGTCCTGCCGGCACCCGGCACCGCTGACCCCCAGCTGGGCCCCACATGCACTGGGGGGAATAAAGGCAATACAGATATATATATATATATACACATGAAACATAATAATAGCAGGGATCCCAGTTTCCTCTCTGGAAAACAAGTGGCAGCACTGGGAGCAGCGTGGGAAGGAGGCAGAAGGGTCCTGGTGCATCCCATGGGAGCCTTCCCGTCTGTAGGGGCTGATCAGGGCATGCTGCTGCCCTCCTTCACCCTGTGCATGGGGCAAATGAGCCCTTTTCATCCTGTGCATGGGGCAAACGAACCCTTTTCACCCTATACATAGGGCAAATATGCCTTTGGCCCCAGCTGGCTGCAGCCTGGATGAGGAGGGGATGCAAACCACAGCTGGCTCCCCTTGAGGTTTTGGGAAGCCCACCCAAACACCAATAGGGACTCACAGAGTGCTGCTCCCCATCCCCATAACCTCTGCATCTGCATCCCCATCCCCTCCCCATCCCGTACGGCTCCTCCGGAGCATCCCGGTCCCCGCAGGGCTGCAGCAGCCGGCTGGGGCAGCCGTTTGCCGGCTCCGGCTGCCGGCGGAGCTGCGGTGGGCTGCTCGGCAGAGCTGGCACTGCCCGGGCTCCCCGCGCCCAGCGTGGGGCGGATGAAGACGCAATGAAGTGAAAGATCTGCTTTCTTTCACTCTCCTCCAGAAGCACGGCGCTGCTGCAGAGAGCGGGGACAGGAGCGCTCCGACCCCGGCTCCATCCCTTATTGCAAACGAGCATCCGTGGTGATAAAGCTGCAGGGACAAACAGGATGTGACCCCCCCTCCCCACCAAGACCACTCGTGTGCTGTGCGCTGGTGGCATCACTGCCCTGAAGGAAGAGGGGTTTGCTGCAGTATTACACAGGGACGAGGAGTCCATCACCCAAGAGCATCTTCCCTGGCTGGTCCCTCCTCTGTGCTGCAGAGCAGGGGTGGGCTCAGGCAGTGTGAGCCCCCATCACCACGGTGCAGTCCCAGAGCACAGCGCAATGAGAGGGCACAGGGCTGGTGTGTGCCAGGGTCCTGCTCTAAGCCTGGCCCCGTGGCAATGAGACACGGTCCTTGTGGAGCAGAGGGTTGGGCCAGCACGGGCACGGCACAGCACCAGGGTTAGCCTTACACTGACACAGATGCCACCCAGAGATGCCACCACCTCGGTACCATTCGGTCTCAAGCATTTGAAAGCAGAGCAGGGACATTTATTAGCCTATTCTTTAACTCACCATCACCCCCAAATCAGGAGCCAATGGAACCTCATCCTGCCCATGAGCACGCATGAAAGCAGGTGCAGCCCCATTGAGGGGCACAGCACCCATCACCCCAGTGCAGAGACACCCCCCCCCAATCACTTACAGGACCCCCCCACCCCACGACCCCCATTAGTGGGCTCCATGGGCTGTGGGTGCTGCTGGGTGCAGTGGGAGGGGGGGGGCACACGCTGCTCAGCACAGTTGGTTATCGTTACGTTTGGCATCACTCGCTTCCATTGGGCTCAATAGGGGAGGGAAGAGAGAAAAAGGAAAACTCAGCTCAGGGCGATTTAATAAGTTCAGCGTTACGAGCTGGGGAAAAGCTGTGGAACACACAAGTGGCAACGCAGGATTAATCTTCCCTTTAGTCTTGGGAATTATGTTTTCATTAATCCTAATTTTTCCAGATGTTTCACTCCTTATACCACGCTCTTCAAAGCCTCTGTGGCTGCAGATTCGAGCGGAGCCATGAGAACATTTTAGAGCGAAAGATTCAAAGCTTAAATTGCTTCCTTTTTTTTTTTTCTAAATTTTTCTTTTTTTTTTTTTTCTTTTTCTTGGGGGTTTTTGATTTTTTCTCCCCCTTTTTCCTCCCCCCCCCCCGGTTTGGGCTGTCAGGGAGTTCATGCGTGTGCGGTCCCAGCGCCTCCACATGTTGTGTTACACAATGTGCTAACAAGATGGAGAAGGCCACTCGGACCGCGTGATGCCGGGGTGACGTCTGTTCCCCTTTGTCGTGTGCATGTGTGTGTCCCCATCCTCCCCCCCCCACTCCCCAATCATCCTCGGTAGGACCCGGCTGGGAAAGGGGGGGGGTCTGGCCCCCTGCCCACCTCCTGACAGGGTCGGAGCTGGACGGGAGCTTTTAAAGCGCTCGTGGTGCTCGCTTAGACGCCAGGAAGGGTTTATATGGGATCTACAGAGGGGATGGAGCCGGGGCCAGGCGTAGCTCCATGTGGAGCCTGGTTTTCCAGCAGGATCTGTAGGGAATGGGGAGATCTGTGGTGCTCCGGGCTCAGGAAAGCAGCTGGAGCGGGGCGATGGGGAGAAGAGCGATGCCAATCCCTCTCCATCGCGCTGCTGGGATGCAGCCGGAGCTCCTGCTCTCTCCTGCTGGGGTACCAGCACATCGCCATAGGGTGGAAGGCACCCAGCCGCGCCGCTGCCGCCCCGCCATTCCCAACCCTCACACCCCTTCGGACTTCTCCATCCAACCCCATCCCATCCCGGCAGCAGGATCCGGCCACCGCCACCAGCCGGCTGTGCTGAGCATCCTCCTCCTCCTCCTCACCGGGAGCCCTGGTCTGACGCAGGAGGTCAGACAAGACGATCGGAACAATCCTGCCGGTCTCCAGCACCCGGGATTCAGATCCATGTACTTATATGGCCTGCAAAACGCGGCGGGAGCATGACCAACGTCTGGAAATCCAGATATGACTAGATCCCTTCATCAGTAATTTCTTGTACATGACTTTCTAGACCATAGGGATTTGTTAAGCTTGCAGGAGTGTTTTCTCACAGTGCCATGGACTGGCTGTTGCCAGCATACATTGGCTCGGATCTGTCGGATCCTGTTGCCTTATATGACCCTCGGTTAATTCAGCTTTCCTTTGTATCCAGCCCTCAGCAGGGAACTCCTCGAGCAGCCCCAGCGTGGATCAGGCTAAAATGGTTCCCCGAGTCCTCCTGCCATAAAACACAGTGAAAGGGGGGATGTGGGGGGTGGAATTCCATGCTCCCCTCCCCACCACCCCAGCCAGATGCTTCCTCCATCCCGGCTCCGAAAGAGAGCTCTCTGTGCCTGGATAATGTTAGTGGAGAGACCCGGACCTTCCTCCCTGCGCTGGGTTCGTGCTGTGAGGACCATGACATCCCTGCACCATGGGGTTAATCATTTGCTGTCCTTGGGGCTGCTCTGGGTCCAGGGGGGACTTTCACCTTCCCAGCGACCTCTTGAAACTTTGCCCTTCTTTTATGGGTGCCATAAAGGTTGCTCTTTAATCTGCATCCCGGGGGTGTTTTCCCTCCCTCTCTGCAGTGGGGTGTTTGGTGCATCGCTGCTCTTTGCACCTGGTCTGGACTGGGGAGCAAGGAGGCTAAACGGGATGGCCTTTTTCCCTAAGGGAAGGGGATGTGGTACCCAACAGCTTGGCAAAGGAGCATGGTGGTGGTTAGTCCCAGCCTCCATGTGCTGATACAGTTTAGCCTCGTGGTGGATGCAGTAGAGCCAGGTGATGGATGCAGAAGGGATGCAGGAGGGATGCAAGAGGGATGAGAGGGGCTGCAGGTCAGGAGGGAGCCCCTCTGTTGGCTGTGTTGGGAGCATCCCAAATCCCCATGTGCTGCCAGAGCAAGGTTTCCAGGTGGAAAAGGAGCACGTGTCCGAGGACATCCTGCTGAGCCTGCAATTCCCTATCTCCTGCTGAAGGAGATAAGGAGTCGTGTCATCTCCGGGCATTGAGCCTGTAACCCTGCTCTGCTGCTTCCCTGTGCGTGCCCCAACATCGTGCCTGCCAACCCCAACCTCCTGTGTCTCCACATCTCTGCCCCTTGCCAGAGGTCTCAGTCACATCCAGGGGGGCTTTTACATCCCAAACCTCCCAGCTCAATGCTTGTCCTCTCCAGTAGCCCTGGGATGCTCCAGCATCCTCCTCTTCCTTCTCCTCACAGGAGGCCGCTTGTGCCACTGCCTTGAAATCTTCAAAGCTCTGCTTTGTAAACGCTCTGTTCAAAGCTTTTTCTTTGAGCATCTTATTTAACCTCACTTTAAAAGCCCCAAACCAAAGCAGGAAGGGGAGGGCTGAGCCACCATGGGGATGCAGGAGGGGAGCGAGAACACAGCACCGAGTGCTCAGCAGTGAGCACCCCAGTGCCAGGCGCACCGAGGGGAGCCCTGCCCTTGCTTTGCATGCAGCTCCCTTGCTCAGTTGGGATCAAAACACTTCTCCCAGCCCTTTAGGAGCAGCCTGGCCCCTCCATTTTGGGAGCACTTCCTGCTCCAAGCATCACCATTGGGTTATATCTGACCAGCCATCACCCAAAGAGGTTTTAATGTGCCAGGCTGTCCCCTTGAAAACCCCTTTGTGGCAATGAGAGCATCCTGCCTACTCATCCCATCCCACCCCCAGCCAAGCTGGTGGCAACAGAAAGAGCCATACAGCACCATGGGGACCCCAGCCCCACATTTCCTTGGGCGAGGGATCGCTGTGGGAGCATCCACTGCTGTGAGCATCCCCATCTGTGCGGCAGGGACACGCTGTGGGCAGACCTAGAACCATAGAACCATACAATGGCTTGCGTTGGAAGGGACCTGGAAGACCACCCCGTCCCAACCCCTCTACAAAGCATCCCAGTTCCCATCCCTCAAACCCCGCAGCTCCCACCACCGCCGGGTGCAACACAACCCTTCCTCAACACCCCCCGTTCACAAAGCACCTCCTCCTCCTTCCATCGCCCTCATTTCCAGCCTCTTGGGGTTGCAATCGGGCCCGGGGAGGGGTTGGCAGGGGAGCCTCGCACACATTATCCAACAATTGTTTCCCATTTTGCGCCCTCGCCTGCCTCATCCTCCACTAACAATGACGAAGAGCGGCGCGGAGCCAGCGCCCGCGGCAGGGGTGTTGAGATCAGGGACAGCACAAAAATATCTCCTCTCTGGAACAAATATTTACCAACCCCTCTGCCTTTTGTTCTTGTGGTTCTCAGAGATGGCTTCTTCTTTGCCTTTTTCTTTTTTTTTTTTTTTCCCCTAATTTCTTTTCTTTTTTTCTTTTTTCTTTTTTTTTTTCCAGACATTTCACTGGCAAAAATGTCACTAAAGCAGCAACCCAGAAACTTGGGGGGAGCCGCTTGGCTGCTCTGCCCTTTGTTTTTTCTCTTACGCTTGATTGTTAATGAATTTCCAGCCATTGAAGCCAACGCAAACCTGTGAGAAAGTGAGCTTTGGGGTCCTGAGATTGGAGCTCCCTAAGATCCAGGCAGCTGCTGGGCAAAGAAAACGGGCATCATCCATAGAGTGGGGTGATGGCAACACCAGAGCCCTTCCGGGTGGGATGTGGCAGAGCCAGATTGGGAGCTGGGGTTACCCGAGCCTCCAGCATCGCTCTGGGGGTTTCAGTGGTGTTTCATCCCTGTTGGCAGGTAGGGATGGGTTACACGGGGGTCATGCCATGGTACCCGCATCCCTGGTCCTTCTCTGCTCCATGGCAGGTTTTCCTTGTTTCTCCTCAAAATCATCCGCGTTTTATGGCGGCCAAGCGAGAGCACGTGGGTAATTTATGGGCTTTGTGTTTGAAGAAGGGAAGGGGAAAATCTCCTCTTCTGGCACATAAACTTGTATCTTTGGTTAAAAATTAACTGTGGCCATAAAACCCCCGGTGCCGGAGGGAGTGGAGTTCACCCTGAGAGCGCTGCCGGTCACTGTCCCCTCCTGTCCACCCCAGGATGGCCCCGACACCATCCACAAGCCCCCGCCGCCTCCTGCCCCTCTCCCTGGGGCTCTTCCAGGCTGCTCTGCTCCTCTTCTTCACCCTCTTCGTCACCTACGATGAGCCCTCGACGCAGGCAGAAGATGCCAACTCAATGGCCAACCGTCTCTACAGCATCTTCCCCTTCTTCCAGGACATCCAGGTGATGCTGGTGGTGGGGCTGGGGCTCTTACTGACCTTCCTGCCCCGCTATGGGCTCAGTGTCCTCACCCACAACTTCCTCCTGCTCAACTTCTCCATGCAATGGGCGCTGCTGCTGCAGGGCTTGCTCCATCGCCTCCACCACGGCCAGGTCCACTTGGGCCTCCACAACATCCTCACTGCAGAGTTCGCTGCTGTGACAGTGCTCATCTCCACGGGGGCCATACTGGGGAGGACCAGCCCCTGCCAGCTCCTCGCCATGGCCACGTGTGAAGTCCCCATCTACCTCACCAGCGAGTGGGCCATCATCACCCATCTGGGTGTCCTGGATGTGGGGGGCACCATCACCATCCACGTCTTCTCCTGCTATTTCGGCCTCGGCGTGGCCAAGGCTCTGTTCAGGGCAGCACAGCAGCCGGTGCACCCCAAGGAGACCCCGACACCCCGCTCGGACCTCATGTCCCTGGTTGGGATGCTCATCCTCTGGGTTTTCTGGCCCAGCTTTGTGGCTGTTCTCTGCCAACCGGGGGATGCTCAGCACCGCGCCATCCTCAACACCCTGCTGGCCATGAGCGCCAGCGCCGTGACCACCGTGGTGGCCTCCAGCCTGATGGAGAGGGATGGGAAGCTCAGCCCTGGCCACCTACAGAACGGCAGCCTGGCCGGCGGGGTGGCCATCGGCGCGGTGGCTGACATGATCATGGCACCAGGGGCTGCCCTTGCCTTGGGGAGCCTCTCAGCCATGATTTGCCTCCTTGGCTTCAGGTTCCTCACCCCTCTCCTGACGAGGAAGCTCTCACTGCAGGACCAATGCGGCATCCACAACCTCCACGGCTTGCCCGGCATCCTCGGAGCCGCAGCCAGCGCCGTGGCCATCCTGGTGGTACCCGATGTCACCGCCGGGTACCACTTCTCCCCCATTGGAGGCAATGCCACCGAGGGGGTGGTGATGGGACGATTCGGGGGCCGTGGGGCAGGGTGGCAGGCGCTGTGCCAGGCAATGGGGCTGGTGCTGGCTGTTGGTGGCTCGCTGCTCGCCGGGCTGCTCACCGGTGCCGCGCTCCGGATGCCCTGCCTGGCCCTGCCGCCGCAGCGGCTCTGCTTCGATGACTTGCTGTATTTTAAGGTCCAGGAGGAGGCTGAGAGCACGGGGATGGGCGGCACCAGTGAGGAAGGGGCTCTGGCAATGAAGGAGCAGGTTTAGGCACTGGGGTGTGTTTGCAGATGAGGGTTTGGCCCTTTCCGTCCCCATCGTTGGCGAGGAGCTGCAGGCAGGAGATGCTGCCTGCTCCCCGTCCCTGCCCAGCTTCTGAGGATGCTGGCAGAGCCAGGACAGCACCATGGCACCAATCCCTCCTCCATCATCCCACCCTGTGGCTGTGAGCCCCCTCCTCTGCCCTGGCTGCTCCCAGGATCCATCCATTCCCAGCAACAGCACGCTCCGGGTGTTCCTCGTTGGATGGATGCTAACCTGGATGGCACCACTGCAGGGCACCAGCACCGGCTGCTTCTCTCTCCATGAGCAGCATCACCCATGGTGCCTGTCCCAAAACTCAGCTCCGGGATGGGGGCTCAGCATCCACTGCCTGCCGGGTGGAAATGCTGCAGTGGGGTGAGATGGAATAAGATGAACCGGCCCCAAGAGAGGGGTTTTGCATGGATTTGATAACCTTTGCTGGGCAATTGGCTCTACAGGGTATTTTGCCAAGGGAGCCACCAGCTTTTTCACCACCACGGCAGCAAACAGCGATGAGGATCCAGCCCCAGCACTGCGAGGAGCCTCGGAGAGAGCCAGGAGGCACCCACACCCCGCAGCACCCTCATCCCACCCCAAAGCTGGGGCCGGGAAAGCTGTGCCAGCATCCCAGGGTGCTGCGAGGCCCCGAGGAAGAGCCGCAGCCCCATCCCATCCCATCCCATCCCTCCCCGGGCAGCGAGCCGCTTCCACCCCGCGGAGGACAAAGCCTGCGGTCCATCGCTGGCATGCGGCGAGCGCGGGGCCGCATCCTGCCCGCAGAGCAAGGCTGTGATTCACATCCCCCTCCATGAGTCACCGCTGCCCCTGCGCTGCCACGGATCCCGCTGCTGCAGAGACAATGCCAGGGACAACCAAACCCCCCTCCCAGGGCTGGCCACAGGAGCAGGGGGCTCTCGGCATGGATGGGGGTACCCCAGAGCCAAGGCGATGGGAGCAGGGCTGGAGCCGCTCTGCCCGGCACGGCCGCAGGCGGAGCGGCGAGGAGAGGGAGCGATGCTGGGGAATTCGCCCCCCCAATAATCACATCCAGGCCCGGGGGCCCGGCGGCTTTGGGGAATTGTTAGAATAAAACATTGCCGAGCTCTGACAAAGCGCTCCTGCCCCCCACCCCCCCCCAGCCCCAACAATGGGCCCCGCGGGCTGAGCAGCGGGGCCGGGGGCCACGGTGATGGGAGGCAGCGTGGTCCCAACCCCCCCGGCCTCCAATACAACCCCCAGGCTTCTCGGCCCCTTGGCGTGGATGCATCCCTGTGTTGGGAAGCATCATGAGCATGGAGCAGGGTCCAGCCGGGCCCCTCGCCGCTGCCTGGCTCCTGCTGGGTGTCAAGAGCCATTGGAGCCAGTGCCCGCCCCGGGATGCTGCGATACCATCGGGGACAGGGATCGGGAGCATCCAGCCTGCGAGCGAGCCGGCGCTCCCGCTGAGCCCGGCATCCCGTCCCGCTGCTTCCCCCCATGCCGAGGCCTGCCGGCTCCAGCGGCTCCGGTGGTGGCATTGAGGGCTGCAGCCACCCCATCGGGAAGCAGCCGGGGAAAGGAATCTTGCGCAGGCACCCGTGCGTGTGCAGGGACATGTGTGCACACGTGTAGTCATAGAACGGCTTGGGTTGGAAGGGACCTCGTCCAGCTCCAGCATCCATGTGTGCAGGCATGAACACACACATCCATGCACACACCCATACGCATGCATACATATATACTCATGCATGCACTCATATACTCTCACATAGTCACACATGCACCCATGTACATATATACACACATGCACGCACAACCCCGAGGCTTGCATCCCTCTTGCTGGCTCCGGAGCAGCATCCAGCATCCCCATCCCTTCCCAGCCTCCTGCCGAGCAGCCTGCGGCACCCAGCGGGAGAGCAGGCGATGGGGATGCGGGGAGGGAGAGCACCCGGAGCTGGGCCGGGGCACATCCCTCCTCTGGGCTGGCACATCCTGGCACAGGCACCCCAGCACGGCGCTGCTCAATCTGGTCTGCAGATGCCTCCAGCACCGGGACGTGCTGCGGGGTCAGCGCTTCCCCACTGCCCACAGAGGCTCAGGCAGCTGGTATCCCATAGCCGGGGCAGGGGGGGGCAGGACCCACCTGGGACACAGCACGGCTCCCAGCCATCCCCATCCCTATCCCATGGGATGCGCTGTCCTGCAGCTGGAGCCGGGCAGCGATGCTGCTGGGTGTGCCGCCCGGCTCTCCCCGCTGCTCTCCAAAGGATGGAGCAGTAAAACATTCAGCAGAGCCCCTAGCGTTTATCACACCATAAATCTGAGCTTTCAACAGCTTTACGATGCTGCAGGGAGATGCGAGAGAACAAAACGCTGCTCTGCTTCGTCAGACACAGCCTCGCATGTGCCAGTGCCCCCAGCGCCGGGGCTGCCAGGGGACCAAGGACCAAAGCAGGGGGTTCATATGGGTAAGGACCCCCCCCCCCAGACACCATCCTGGGGGGCTGCTGGCACCCTGACCGGGTGATGGCTGTGTTTTGGTGGGACAATGATGGGGGGAAATGTGTCTCCAGCATCGGCTCTGTGGAAATAGGGCAGCTGCCAGCATGGCCCCCCCACCCCAGTGCACTGAGAGCTGCTGCTGCCTCCGAGCTGGGTTGGGATGCAGGACACCGGTCCCGGTAAGGAGCCTCAGTCCCCACCAACCAACCCTGCCGTGGATGCAAAACAAGCAGCGCTCGGCTGCATTGGGCCGGGCCATCACCGCGGCACCTGGCCCCACACAGGGCTGAGGGCGCAGCGGCCGCATCCCCACCGCACACATCGCATCCTCCCCTGCACTAACACACACACACACGCGTGTCTGCATGTGCAGCCTTCACACCGCGCCCGAGCTCATCGCATCCCCATGGGCCGGGGCCAGCTTGTGCAAGGCACGCATGGCCCGGGGGGGGGACACACAAACACTGCTGGAGCCACATGAGAGCGGCCCCCCCTCCGGAGCAGGCGGGAGCGTGCGGTGCTGCCCTCGAAGGAAATGCGCTCACCCCATGTGCTGCACACTTGGGCTCGCTGCTATTTTTATTTGACTTTTCGGGGCCCGTTTCCTTTTTCCGGCTGTTTTCGCCGCGATTCCACCAGCGCCGCGACCTCGCTTTTCCCCTCCCTCCCTCTTGCCTCTTCCTTCGCTCTTTCCTTCCTTTCCATGCACTCATTCCTGCCGCAGATGCACCGGGATCCCTTTTCCCCCCTCCCCAAAGCCGGTGCTAGCAGCAAGCTGGTGGTGAGCTCATGGCGAGCGTGGCAATGCCTCCTCCCAGCACGCTGAAGCAGCAACACCAGGCACAACCTCCCCTATTCCCAGGTCCTGCAGCACAGCCTGGAAAAGCACAACACCCCCGTGGGACCCCCCAGCCCCATCCATGGGATATCGAGCATCAATAGAGCGATCTGGGGATGCGGGTGGGATGTAGGGTGAGATATGTGGGGGCAGTGATTGGGATGAGGACTGGGAACAAGAAAGAAGCCCCAAATCTAAACCAGTGCAAACGCTCCTGAGGAAGCCAAGGAAAGACAGGAGGAAAAGGCAGCAGCGCTCGTTCCCAAAGGATGAGGATGGAGCGGGGAGGAGGGAGCGTGGCCTCCAGTACTGGAACTGCTGCTCCCCAGTGAGCCCCTTCACCAGCCTGCCCCATGGCATGCAGGCAGCATCTCCAGGGACCCCACAAGAGCAGGACCCCCTGTCCTACCCCATCAAACCCTGCTCCCTGTCTGCACCCTTCTAAACCCCAGGGGGAGACCCTTACTACCTGTCCCAGCCTCCTTCCAGCCCAGTCCCAGGGGTAAGGAGTGGGCAAGGACCCCCGAGCATCCCCCGATCCCACCGGGATGCTGGGAACCCCTAGGGAAAGGCGTCCCGTTGGTCAGCAGTACCCATTGAGCACCCAGCCGGGACCGGGGCGATGGATGAGACCGCGGTGGGGACGGGGGATGCGCAGCGCCCGGCTCCGCGCAGCGCGCTGCTGCCACCTCGTGTCCTTCACGCACAGCCCCGCAGCCCCACGGGTTTTATCCTGCCCGAGGGGAGACTGAGCTGAGCTCTGAGGCAGAAGCTCTTCCCTGGGAGGGTGCTGAGGCGCTGGCACAGGGTGCCCAGAGAAGCTGTGGCTGCCCCATCCCTGGCAGTGCTCAAGGCCAGGTTGGACACAGGGGCTTGGAGCAAGCTGCTCCAGTGGAAGGGGTCCCTGGATGGAACTGGAGGAGCTTTAAGGTCTCTTCCAACCCAAACCAGGCTGGGATTTTGGGATGACAGCACCCACCCTGATGGAGAAAGGACTGAGGAATCTGGGGCAGGGGCAAACAGCCTCCACCATCATGCATAAGGGTGAAGGATGGAGCCCCATAAGCCAGGCCTGCATGCACTGAGACAGAGACAGGATGCCGCAGTGCCCACTGCTGTGCCATGCCCAGTCCATACACCACACCAACCCCATCCGCAGCCCGAGGCCCAGGGTCACAACACACCCAAAGGGCTTCCAGGTTTCATTTCTGGCTTCCCAGACAGTGTTTGCCACCCAAGAAGGGAGCAGGGACCCACCCGGGCCGCCGGCAGAGCACAGTGACAAGGGAGGATGCTCCTCAGCTCAAACCCCACATCCCTCCAGGCTCAGCTCACCACGGGGTACCAGGGCACGCACGGTGCTGAGCAGCCGGGTCCTCCAGTGCTGCACATCCCATGGGATGAGCCTTGCCCTCAAGCCCCTGCATCTGCCACTTGTTTTGCTGTTTATCCATGGGCACGGGTGCTCCCCAGACTTCCCCTGGGTGCCCGGTGATGCACCTCGGCTTCCCCATCCGCTGTGGGCACCCGGCTGCTCTCTGTGTGCCAGCAGTGCAGCACGGACACGGGTCCCACTCCACAGCCTGGCCACCCTCAGAGCCTTATGGATACACAGTGGTCCTGCAGCCAGCAACAGCCCCGTATCCTCTTTCTGCCCCCAAAGCAACCGTTGTCCCCCAGAAAGCAGCAGGAGATGCAGGGCCAGGAGCATCATTGAAATCCAGCCCCTCACCTCCTTTCTTTGGCACTTCCCTTTCTTCTTCCCATTTCCTGGCGTTCCAGCTTCCCACCATAGCCATCCCATGGCAAACCAACCTGCCAGGGATGCAATGGGGCTGGTCCTTGGGTACCACTTGAACCAGGAGGATGAATTCAACATCTCCGCTGCCTTCAGCATTCAATGTGCCCCAGGTTTCCAAACCAGCCAGGGGCAGGCGCGATGCTGGAGCTGCGCATCCCTCCGGCACACGGCGAGAGCATCCCTATGAGTGCCGGGGCAGCCGGTGCGGTGCGTGCAGGGCATAGAGCTTCTCCCAGCAGGTCACCAGCCTCTGAGCCTTCCTCCCAACCTCCCGCAGCATCTTCATCTTCCTCCTGCGCCTGCGTCCCCTGCGCCGGGGCTGAGCCGGGATGCGCGGCGGGCTCTGCGGTCACAGCGTGCAGAGGGAGCATCACAGGGGGTGAGTAAAGGGGATGAAAGGCACCACTCATAGGGTTTGTATGGGCAAAGGTGCAGGATGGGGTGGCCAAACCGCACAGGGGCATTGTGGGGGTGTGCTCGTGGGTCCCCATTGATGAGCAGCACAGCCCAGGCAGGGTTTGTCCCAGCCCATTGCCCCAATGATGATGGGGAGGATGAATCCCAGCACCGGCAGAACCCTGGGGTTTCCCCACTGGTTAATGAGTTGCCATAGGGAATCCTCATGGATGGGGTTTCCCCAGCAGAACCCAGAGCAGCCCTTTAGGGAGAAATCCCAGCTCCTGCCTCTGAGAGCCCAGGAATGAGAGCAGGACTGGGAGAGCATCCCTCTAGGACAATGCTCTATTCCCATCGTCCATGGCACGGGGGAACAAACCCACTTAGGAGCTGGTCATAAAACACCACCAGCCTGTCCTATGATGCTGCTACTGGACTTCCCTCCCGGGCCAGTTTAAAGCTCACTGGGATGTGCCATCATCATCATCCCACACCCATGGACCATGGGATGCTGCAGCCGGAGCCTGGATACTCCCTATGGGCAGCCAGGAGAGCACACAACAGGGGTGGGCTCTGCCCCATGCACTGGGAGCCATGGAGGGGGGGACTGGGAAGGGGCCGAGCTCCCACCTTACGGATGCTCCTGCAGCTCTCCCTGAACACCACTTCCGTGTTCCTGGCCACCTTCCACAGCGCCAGCTCCCCGGGGCCACGCACGGAGCCGGCAGCCGCGTCCCACAGGGCCATGGTGATGTTGTAGATGGAGAACAGGATCCTGTGGTCCTGGAGAGGAGAAGCACACGGTGGGGAGTGGGAATGGATAGATCCGGGGGGGGGCTGAGCACCCACGATGCTGCTCAGTGCTCACCTTATCCGAGCGACAAGCCGGGCCGGCCCTTCCGCTCCTGTCCACCGACCCACTCAGGGTTTTCTGGAGACATAAAGCATCATCAGGCATCCCAAAGCATCAACGCCTCCAAGGTGGGGCAGGAACCCCCCCATTTAAACAGTGCTCTGCCCAGCAAAGCTTCCCAGCTCATCCTTTGATCCCATAGGGTCACATCCAGCTCGGCATTCCCAGCACACTCACCAGGTTCTGGATCTCGTGGAAGATGACGGCGCGGTACTGCCGGAGGATCCTGGCGATGCTGCACCTCTTGCCTCTGCTCAGCACCGTGAGGAGCAGGAGCAGCACAACAGCGCAGGAGAGGGCCCGGGGGGAAATCTGTGCAGGGAAGGGCTCGCTGTCAGCCAGGGGCTCTGCCTCCAGCCCCTTGACACAGCCCCCGTTGACCCATCCCCTGTCCCTGAAGATGCAGGATGGGGCTCAACCTTGAGGAAAGCCTCATCCCAGTCCATAGCCACGGCACACACCGAGCTCTCTGCTGCCATCAATCAGATTCTTGGCACAGAGCTGTGCCAGGATCCTTACAGGTCTATAGGATCTATCCCCCTCCTCTCGACCCCAACAGGGTTCCCAGTAGCTCTCCAGCTTGTGGCATCTTCAGGTCCTTTCCAACCCTAATTATGCTAGGATTCCATTTCTTGACCCCCAACCAGCAGCAATCGAGGGGAATGGAAATGGATGTGCCCTGCTCTCTGGAGAGGGGCTGGAGGTCAGGAACCGCCTGGCTCCCACCAGCAAACCTCTACACCTCGATCCAAACAGCTCCAGCACCCCATAGGGATGCTTTCTGCACGCCCCATAGGGATGCTCTCTGCACTCCCCACAGGGATGCTCCCTGCACTCCCTACACAGGTGCTCTCTGCACTCCCCATAGGGATGCTCTCTGCACTCCCCACAGGGATGCTCTCTGCACTCCCCACAGGGATGCTCTCTGCACTCCCCACGGGGATGCTCCATGCACACCCCATAGGGACGCTCTCTGCACTCCCCATAGGGATGCTCTCTGCACTCCCCACAGGGACGCTCTCTGCACACCCCATAGGGATGCTCTCTGCACTCCCCACAGGGACGCTCTCTGCACTCCCCACAGGGACGCTCTCTGCACGCCCCATAGGGATGCTCCCTGCACACCCCACAGGGATGCTCCCTGCACACCCCACAGGGATGCTCTCTGCACTCCCCACAGCACGGCAGCGGTCACGCAGCATTTCCAGCTCCCACCCAGCTCACGCTCACCCTTGGCTCAGGGATCTGCCTCCCAGGCAGCAGCAGCAGCACAAGGCCCTGCTCTCCCCACCTCTGGAACCCTCCCAGGCAGCAGCAGCAGCAGCAGCAGCAGCAGCACAAGGCCCTGCTCTCCCCACCTCTGGAACCCAACGCACGCATCCGAGCTGGGGGAGCAGGGATGAACCCTGGGGCTCTGAGGAGGAGCCAGCGCAGCCTCAAGTGAGCGGGGCTGGGACATCTGAGCAGCCCCACAGCAGTGGGGCGAGGATGCACACACAGCCTCTGCCTGGAAAGGAGCCAGCAGCAACCCATGGGCCCCATCCTGGTGTCTGTATCACCCCCCCTGACCCTCCTCCCCATGCAGGGTCAGGTCTGGGCAGGCAGAAGCAGCTCAGCTCTTTCCAACTATGCAATCCCTGTGGCCAAAGCAGGGCAATGAGGATGGGATGGGCACAGCTCTGCCTGCCCCAAGCCACAGCTCGCATCCCTGTGGGCTCACCAACATCCCAGCCACCTCTGGCCTTTGGGATTGGCCCTTTGCTCACAGAAGCCAGAAGGAGAAGTCATTCCCTTGTGGAAGTCCAAGCCCATCCATCCTGCCCCATGGCTTGTAAGACCTGCATCCCACTCAATGATGGGCTGCTCCCGGCTCCAAAAGGCTGAGGAAACCTTTTCCCACCTTCCCATAGCTCAGCAGGAGATGGGGGCTTAACATGAGGTGGAATCCCGCACCCTGCAAGGCTGGGAACCCACGGACACAGGCGTCACCTTGGATGTGCCAGGAGATGAGCAATTCCATGCGCAACCGGTACCAATCCCACTGGGCTCTTCAGCTCCTTTCATCACCACGAGCCTTCCAGTAGAGCCATCCAGAGGCCAGGAAAGGCCGGGAAGAGCCTCCCCATGCTGCTGGCCTTGCTCTCTGCAAGCCCCCGAGGTGATTCAGCATTGAGCCAGGGGTGTATAATCCTCAGGGATACCAAAGGAGAGCGCTGCTTCCATAAGGACACCCTGGCCAAAGTCTAAGGGTTGCTGCTCTCGGGAAACCTCCTCTTCCAGGAAGACGAGGCCGCACGATTTCACTGTGAAACTGGGAATGACTTCCCTGAAGTGCCTTCGAAAACAACCGGGACCAAATTCCAGCAGAAAGCACAGCATTCCCAGGCAGCCGAGCCTGGCGCCGGGCTCCCAGCGCTTGGCACAGGAGGGAGCACAGCCCGCAGCGAAAAGAGCCCCATGAGCAGCCGGGATGGGGGCTCAGGGGGTGCAGTGGGTGCTTCCCACCGCCCTCAGAGAGCTGGGAAGCAGCAGCGATGAGAGGGATGCAGGGAAGAGAGAGATGAAGCTGGCAAATCCCAGCCCTGGCCATTCCTTAGGATGGGGGACACTAAGTTCAGTGGCTGATTTGGGGTTATTCCTTCCCCCTCATCCCCATCCCTGCAGCAGTAAGATACGGGCAGGCAGATCGCTTCCCACAGGGAAGGAGCAGGAAGATCAGAGCCTGTCCCTGGCATAGAAGCTAATCTCTAATCCTCCAGCAAATACAGGAGATAAGGAAATCACCATTACTGATAGAGCAGCTCCCGGCACACTCGTGCAAGCCCTGGACACGAGGAATGGTGCCCAGGGTTCCCATTAGGGTCCCATTGGGGATCCCAGCTCGTTCCAGCCACACAGATCCTGTCCCAAACCCCCTTTTACCCAAGGGGACCCAGAGCCTCAGCACATGCCACAGTTCCAGGCACACCTAATGCTCTTCCCCTTGGAATCAGCCAGCTCCAAGCCTCGTTCCAGCTCCATCCCAGCCAGGTCCATGCCCCTTCCCCACCAATTCCCACCTTTACCCCACCGCAACCCTCCCCATCCAGCTCCAAGCTCCATCGTGGAGCCCCTTCCGACTGGTCCAAGCCCTTTCCCAGCTGAATCCTGCCCATCCGGATCATCCCAAGGAGAACCGGATGCTTCCCAAGCCCCATCCCGGGTTCCCCCCCCCACCAAGCACCCCGGGGGTCCCATCGCGGTGCCGCCGCACTCACCATGGAGCCCTGCAGCCACGTCCTGCTCCGCCGGGGCCCGCGGTTTGAACTTGGCTCCACGGTGGGAGGGGACGGGACACAGCGGCCCGGCCCCGCGGGGAGCGAGCGCGGCGCCGGGGGGGAGCGGGGACCGGCACAAAGGGACCCGCGTCCGTGCCCCTGCGCGGCTGCATTGGGTGCTGCGGTGCCTACCTGGTGGTGGCCATGGGTGCATGCCGGATCCACCTACAGCCCCGCAGGCAGAGGCGGCTGTGCAGTGAGACCATACCCCTGTGTGCAGCCACAGTCCCCTCCGGCTTCCCCTCCAAGTTCTCACCATCAGCAGCATCAGCACTGGACCCTGCCCCGACGCCGGATCCTTTGCTTTTGTAGAGAGGGAAAATAATGGACAGAGAGGAGCAAGGCTCTGCTGAAGAGGAGGACGAGGGTGTTGGAGCAAGAGATAACGTCGGTGGTTGAACAATCCACCTCTTCTCAACTTGGCAGGAATGCTCCTCCGTGTGAAGAAGAACCCCAGCAATGTCTGGGTCCTCCATGTGAAGAAGAACCCCAGCAATGTCTGGGTCCTCCATGTGAAGAAGAACCCCAGCAATGTCTGGGTCCTCCATGTGAAGAAGAACCCCAGCAATGTCTGGGTCCTCCATGTGAAGAAGAACCCCAGCAATGTCTGGGTCTCACCTTCTGCAGTACAACTTGGTTCTTGAGCTCTATACAGTTAAAACCCACAGGTGCCATAACCCGGTTTAAAACCGCCAAGAAGCCACAAACATGAAGAGGTTCTAAAAGTTATCTAAACCAAAATGCAAATCTAACCCCAGAATGTACCCCAGGTACAGAGTGGCAAAAGGAGCTCAGTGCCACGAGGAGCCCTCCAGCACATCCCAATGTGGGAATAATCCCTCCTCTCAGCACCCACAAGGAGCAATCTCCCATGAAGTCCTTCCCATGGGTTTTCTCAAGCCCAGGGCTCTGGGGTTGCCTTTGCCAGTAAATCCTTAAGGAATGTGGTGCTGTCATTGGGGTCAGGGGATTCCAATCGATGGCCACACACACGGTACCTGGCTTATAGGAGATGCTCCAAACACAAGTCAGGAAGCTCTCCAGCAGGAAAAGCCAGGCCAATGTGGTTCCAAGCAGCCTTCCCCACCTCAACTCTAGAGCCACTGAGAGCACTGTGAGGCAAAGGGATCCACGCTTCCCTGGCATCCAGCCTTCCCAAACATCACTACCCCAGGAAGCACTCCTGCCTACAACAGTGGGACAGAGTCCCCACATCCAAGCACTTACATGGATCACAGTATGGAGGAAGAGTAGAAGCCGTGTGAGAAGCACGAGGGGCTGAAGGACAGCACATGCTGGAAACTACTTTTAAACATGTTTTCCTCATGCCTGGCTCAGTCATGGAATCCCTGTCCAGGCACATTCCCACCCCACATCTACCCTCTCCTTCCCATACAGAACGGATGCCAGTGACAGCATGAAATCCCTGAGCAAGTCTCTCAACCCCCAGTGCCTCTCACCCACCTTTTACAAACTACAATTCCATGGGATATCTGCGACCTACACCCTCCTTAATGCAGCTTCAGACACTTCCACAGCTATTCAAGAGGGAGCACAAGAGTTTCCGTTATAAACCCCAAGCAAAAAGAGGCTTCTGCTCCAAGACCGACCGTTTCTGCTTCAGTGGTAAGGGACAGGCTCCTCATCCCTGCTGGCAGCACAACTTGGTGTAACCACCACCAGCAGATACGTTCCCAGGGTGGTGGGAGCCTGATAAGTTCCAAGGTTTCTGCTATCAGGCCCACTCTTCCCAGCCAAAGGACAAGACCACATCCACAGAGAACGTAAGGAAACAAAAACCCAAGCTGTATTTTATACGTTATCCAAACAAGGGGTTTTCTCCTCCAACTAAATACATGATGTAATGCAGACAGAGACCTGAACACTTCTGCTCTACCCTAACAGGTCAGACATTACAGCTTCTCATTCAACAATCACAAGGTTTGGGGGGGGAGGGGGTGTCAAAATAATTCAGATCACAAGTGTAGAATAGAGCTGATAAAGGAAAGGGTCCCAAATACAAAGCTTTTCCTCTCCTAAATTGTCTGGTTTCCACCTGCACATGAAGAGCTATCCCAAACATCCCAACTGACTGCAGTTGCTGCTGTAAAAGCACACAAGTCTCTGAATGACTAAAAGGTTGCTCCTTCAAAAGAGCCTTCAGGGATGGCTGGATTTTGCCTTACTCTAAAACACCCCTGTGCTTACTGAAATCAGTCACAAACAGGGCAGGTTGCACTACATACATTTAAAAACTGAGGAAAAGGGCTCTAAAATTGCTTTTGTATTCACAAAACTGCTCAGGTTGGAGGAATGCTCCTGAGCTGGGCTGCAGCTCGTCAGCACAGAGACCAGGCTAAGCCAGGCTTGTGGCTACAGACTGAAACAGAGGGGCCAGCCCATCCCCTCGACTGCTGGTCACCCCCAGCAGGACTCCACTCATCTCCTTCAAGTCCATTCAGTGTAGTCAAACAGCAACAACCCAGATCTGCTGACAAGGAACCAGCATCAGATGGGCTAAACACTAAAGAAACCGCACAGAGAGGGGCAGGAGGGGAGTGCATGCCAGGGAAGAAAGCAAAGAAACTGCTAAACCCATCCAAGCACTAAGTAAAGCTTGTATTTACAGGGGATTCAGGCATTGAAATGAAGATGCCAACACAGCCACCCAAGACCACTCGTCTCTCCTACATGACACCAGCATTCAGATGTGCTGCAGAACCCTACGACTGTGTTGTGTGAACCAAGAGCACTGGGAAGAGAAGAAAACAGCTTTTCTTTCTGGAAGAAAGCTCTTCTGTATCACCCATCCTCCAAAGTCTGTTCCACTGCAAAGGCGAATGCCCCGAAAGCAGGTAAGCAGGCAAGTCCTACAGAGATGACTCGGGATGAAGGCAGGGGACTCTAGAAGGTGTTTTTAAGCTTGGCTGCCACAAGCACGAGGATCTCCCCAATCTTCTTCTGCCAATTCTCTATGTCCTTGGAGACATCACACCAGAGCTCCCCATGGCGAGGCTCGGCATTCTCACAGCGCTTCCTCACCTCTTCTTGCTGTTCCTATGAGGAGGAGAAACAACAGTTTGCAACTCTCTCAATGGCCCCAGCACAGAGCCAAAACAATTCCCTCCCCAGTTCACTTTTCCCAAGCTTATGGTGGGTTTTTGCTTTGGTTTTTAAAGGTATGGAGCCCTCAGTGAAAGCTCAGCAGCTCTGCCTTGCTGAGCAAACTGACTTACAGACAAGCAAGCTTTGGCTAAACTGCAGCAGAAACTTCCTCTGCATTCCCACCTGCACGAGAGCTGTGCAGTGAGAGGTTCCTCTGAAGTCAGGAGAGAAAACACTCCCATCATTTCAGCACTATCAGGCAGTAAAAACTGCCCTGAGAGATTAGAACAGACTGTCCCTGCGGCTGCGTTCACGTGCAACCTGCGCTTGACACTTGTGGAGAGGCAGCACCAGCCACACAAACCCAGCACCGCAATTACAGGAAGATCTGTGAGAGAGCTTGCATTATACAGCAGGGAGATTGATTTCATCGATTCCTGCACGACCCAGCATGACTGTGGACAGCGAAGCAGCTTGAGAGACAGCTCAGTTAATGACAGAGCCTCTTAAATAACCACCACACAGGCCTGTTCATGCTCAGTCATGACAACGCAGCCTCATCTGCGAGCCACACAGGCGGCAGAGAGCTCAGCACAGCTCTGCACATCCAGCATCAGCCAAGGATTCCTGCTGCCTTCCCAGCTCCCTGCTCCCAGCACACACACTCACCTCCGTGCCATGCTGGAGCTCGAACTTGTAGAAGAAAGCCCAGGCATCCCCCAGGTCAGAGTCGATCTTCACTGTTCGGTGGAACCATTCCCTGGCCTTGGTTATTTTACGCTCGCTCCAGAAGAGCCTGGGGAGAAAAGCGACCGTGAGTTGACCAACAGCCTATTTCCGAGGAACCCAAAGCACTCCAACTGAAAAGCTCTCCAGATCTTGCAGATCTTTGCTCTCCCAAGAAGGAAACAGCAGATTTCACAGGCATCTGCTGACTGGCCTTCCCCTGGGAAGAGACAGGACTGAAATGAACATTCACTGTTTTCTCTTCACTCTCCCCTAGTGAGGCATGTTAACCAAGAGACAGACAATCCTGAGAGGGGAAGTATTGCTCTCCAAGCTCAATCTTTGCTAACTCAATGGCTTAATTCTGCTGGTCCAGACTGGGAACAGGCTCACATGCCTACACGATTTCCCCTCCTCCAACTTAATATTTCAAGTTGAATTTAGCATCTAACAGCTAAATAGCTCCTAAGAGCTGAACACTACCTGCAGACCTACCTCATCAGCTCCACGTTACAGGGAAAGGTGAGCACTTCCATGCTCCCATCCCAGCCTGGCACCCAGCCCCAGTGCTGCCATTTCATAAAGGTACTTATGAATTCTGGAAATTCTTCCAAGTTATTATCCACCTGAGTCAATAGTCTCTCGGGTTCACTCCTCTTTGCATTAAGAGTTCATTTAAGCTGGGAAGGCCTTTATCAAAGCAGACTGCCATCCCTCATAAAGAGCTTAGCCAGTCATAAAATTATACAGCTTATGTGATTGTTTCTAAGCCCTGTAATACTCTTGATTGTTCCATGTTAAATAAACTGTGATTTAACACAGCACGAACAATGATAGCAGAGGCTCAACTCCTGCAAGCAGTGGCCATTTCCAGCAACCCACTTAACACAGCTGTTACTAGACTTGATGGTATCACTGCACCTACATGCAAGTCGTGATGGGAGGTGGGAGCTGTTTGTGTTGGGATTAGCTGCTGAACTGTGAGAGGCTGCACCAGGAGGGGCCTGGAAGCTGTTTCCATAAGGCAAAGTTAACGTTATTCTCCCTTGCTGCTATAGCTGAGCGAGTCTGCTGTCATGATCTGGCAGAACCCAGCCCTGCAGTCACTTGAATGTATCCTACGGTTTTCTTTGGCTTATAAAAAAGAGTTATGAAAGAATTGGGCAACTGTTTGGGCAAAATTCCTCCTGCATTAACCTCTTGTGGTGCTCACAAAGGAACAGAAGGAAGTTTGTTCCAGTCACGGCTGCTGCAAAGCTATTCATCTGGTCAACAAGGATACGGAGTAAGTTCTAATAGCAGGTTTTCATCATTGGAAGCCTCACAACTCAATCTAGACAAGAAGACAATCCCTAGTAAATTATCTTTCCATTCCAGAGAAGCAAACTACAGCAGGATGGTAGCCTGCATTCCAGGAAGGGCCCCAACTCAGGAAAACCGACATAGGAGAAATTCAGAAGAGGAGAAGACTACAACAGCTCAGGGTTAAAACAAACCTGACAGAACCTAGGAGAGAGAGAAAAGATGAAGAACACACTGTCAGCCACATAAAAACTGACAAATAATCAGGCAAAACTGTCCCTACTTTATCACAATACCTAAAACACACCCTAAAAAACTTACTAAAGTCCAGGTCACCTGCAAGCACACCGAAATCCCTTTCAAGGGATGGAAAGCAGCGATTTTCAGAGTGCCATTACTCAGCACTGGAAAAGGGCTCAGTGTGAATGTATTGTTGTCTGTGCTGCAGTCCCAGCCCCAGCAGAACAGCTCGAGGGCAGGCTGACATCCCCTGCTTTGAATCAAGGGAGAGATTTGCACAGTTACTAGGAGACAGCTTGAGAGCCGTTACTTGCTTTGGGGCTTATTAGAGCTGCTGCAGCCAGAATCACACGGCTGTACTCGAGCGCAATGCTTCACCCTGGATGCAGCCGAAAGGGGTTATTTTTTACAACATCAAGGCCAGGAACTCACTTGGCCACAGCCAGCAGGACGTGTGGGTCGTGTTCACACTTCTTGAGAGCATCCACACTCTTGGTCTTGCGTTGCGGTCGCGCTTCAAGGAAAATTGCCTCTGACCACAGGATTCCTGAATGAAGTCAAGCAGGAAGATTGTTAGTTTCAGCATTAACCCTCCCCATCCTGTCACAAGCAGCACCACTGACCACCCCCCCACTCCCCAAAGGTTATCAATGCCCCAATCTCATCCCAGATGATTCTTTCTGCATGGATACTTCATCCAGCACTCTGAAGGTTTGGCTACCGCATGCACCATGCTGGACCTTCACTTCTGAAGGTCTCTGCACCACAAACCCCCCCTGCAGCTTCAGTGCTCCCTGTGCTGGGGGTGCACCAACCCAAAGCTCATGCCTCTCGGATGAGACATTGCAAGCAGTGGAAGAGGGGAGGGCAAATCATCATTTCAAAAGTGAAAGAGATCCATCTGTCTGAACGGGAAACTCCAGAGACAGAAGAAGTCCCAGGAGGTGCAAAGCACAATGTCTTGAAGCAGTTCTAAGGGTGCCAAAGAGCACCAGGGTCTTATTGATGCTGGCTCTCCATACATACGATGAAGGACAGAGTAGGTCCAGGAAAGCCAGGTTTAATCCCTACATCCTTCCACTGCCAAAAGCAAGGAAGGAAACATGCTCGGAGGAGCATGAAATCTCCAGTTTCTGCTGTCAGCCAAGCACACCTGGTGATCACTTCAAAGCAAAGCTTGAGAGCGGGTGTCTGCCAGGACTCTGTGCTCTCACTTCCCATCAACTGCACATGGGAATACACGCAAGCGTTGATGACTGCAGTGACACCGGAGCAGAGCTCGTCTTGCTCTTTATATATATAGGGTCAAACCTCATTTTCCCAGGCCTGCTGAGGCCACAGTCATCATTAGATTTCAATTTTACTCTTTGTGCAGCCTGCTCTGCAGCAGCCACATGCAACCAGGAATCAATTCAGCACTTGATGGATGCGAGCCGCTGGTTTACCCAACTGTAAGCGTCCAACGAGCTCACTCCTCCTTTTATTCTGCTTTGTGGAGTTTAAAGATAGGGTTGGAAATGATTATATTTCAACAAAAACTGAGATCCTGCTGCCCATTTCCATAGCAACAGGCAGATTCGGTGAGAAAGCCTGTGGTGGCAAACCCTCATTAAGCATTAGGTCATTCCCAAAACAAAGTGGGACTTTGGGTGCTGTTGCTTTGTTGACCCACTCGCACGGTGAGCAGCTTGCAAGGGGTTTATCATGGCATAAAAGTCACTTAATTCCCAATGATTTCACTGGGACTTCAGCAGCCACCAATTAAACACCTTTCAAAAGCCAGCCCGAAGGCAAACTGGAAAGCTTGTCCTGCACAAGACTATTGCGTTTTGCAGTTATGTGACATCTCCTCTCCAAAAGATGTCAACATGTTTAAATCATTAAAGTCTTCCCACAATTCTGCCCAAAAATAGGGAAGTATTATGGACTTTTTCCTCCCATCCCAAGAGGCAAATGTTTCCACTGCTAGTTAGAACCAACTGACTTTCATTCTATGACCTATTAGCCTCTTCTTAAATGAGTTCAAATCATCAAAACCCAGGACTAAACATTTATGATCCCTCTCATCATGACT